CACCAATCGGCATTGATGTGGTCAAGTGAAACGTGATCTTTAAACTTTTGTTCGGGAGGGACATTTTCTTCCGATTTATAGTTTTGTAGTCATGAGAAATATTTGGACTCTCAATCTTTTCTTTCATTTTTCATGATCTCATCCAGCTTTCTGCAGGAAATATCTTTCTGACTTACTGTTTTTCCAGCATTATCCAGCCCAAGAATCAAGATGAAGTATTCATCCCGTCTAAATATGTACTGCCATAAACCATACAGTAAACTGAACATTGTGATGTTACAAGACTTGGCTTCAAGTGAGCATCTCTTCAACTCTACAATGAAGAAACGGAAAAACATTCAAACATCAAAATACTATTACATGTACTTACATTTGTGAAATTGTGACTACAAAGACTTAGTAGTACCGAATCCCTCCCAAAATTTTCAAATCCAAGAGTCAGGAAAACATCACACTTTTCCAGGATAATAACTCAACATTTCATTTAACACTAACAATGTCAGTACTGGAGATGTGGACTATAAATGTCTATGATGGTGTAATTGCTAGGTCTCTTTCGCTACTTACAATGAAATCCAATGACACTTGTGGCGCAATTAGGGACCTGGCGACTATACAGTCAGACATCACTAGTATTAGGCTTGGGCCTTGCCATTGGTTTGAGTTTGTACAAGTGTTGATTACTTAGCCTAGGTTTAGCGAATCTCTTACAAGACAGTGGACAGGATTATGTCAACGGGAAAGAGTTCTATACATGGATGGCAGCATTATTCCCTACCTGACCTATTAGCCGTCAGAAAGCAAAAAAAAGTCAAGAAAAGTTCAGTATCGAGTACTTTACATAGAAAAAACATTTCAGACCAGTCTCAAAAGTCAAACTTTCAAAGAGTTTGTACACGGGGCGTCAAGCAGCGTCCGCATAGGAATTCTTACCTGTCAAAGTTTCACTGTTTAATGTCTAATTAATACTACATACATAATCACACTACAGTGTCATCTTCCTGTTACGGTTCAAGTTTTATCACGAATTCGATAAAACACTGGCCTATGGCTGGCAGTACGTCAGTTTGTTTTCGATCAAAGTACAGTGTCATGAGTAAAAGCCACCGAATAAACTCCAAGTGTTGTATTTGATAAATGACGTAACCTGTTATCATCAGGTAATTACAAAGTTAATCCAATAAAAAAATTGAACTCACACAGCCCTGTGGATGGACAAAGTCTCCCTCGGACTCGGTGAACGGGCGGCAGCTTGATTGGAGTTTCGACAGCATGTAGTGCGCCCTCTTGTACTGGAATAATTCTCCAGCTGGTCAGATTGCGGTGTTGTCGTGCGATGGGTGGAGTTGAACAAGGGGAATGGGTGGGAAAGTTGCTTTCCGTCCCCCATGGATTGAAAAACTCTCTAAACAACTTTCAGAAAATTAATAACGTCCGTTTATCGGGATCGTGGGCCAGGAAACGACCATCAACTTGTCTCTTGAGTCCATAGGCCCTCCTTAATTGCCGTTTGTCGATCACATGACCCCGAAGCTTCTGACAACTCTGATCTGATTTCGGGCCGGGTTGCAATGCCTTCCACTCAGGAATGGTGTGGGAACAACATAACTCCCTACAGCTGTCCTTGAGGTTCAATCAGTTGAAACTGTGTGCTGAACGTGTGTGCAGATTACACGGGTTTGTAGATTTCTACTGATCGGAGGGATATGAAACCATGACTGAGTTTCTGTGTAGAGGGATATCAGTCGTACCCTTTTCTCCTCGGCTTATTCAAGTCCAACTGAACCAACGATCGTGTCCGTGACGTGAGTCTTTTTGTCTCTGACATGTCTGGCCGCACGTTGCTTCACTTTTTCGTGTCTAGGTGGTCTATGTTTGTTTTCTGATATCGATCACAAACAGAGATGTTGTTCGAATCTGCAAATTGTTTGTTGTATACATGTAGTTTTGAGACAGAAACGTGAACTGTAATTAAATTTTTTTTTCTGTGAGCGCGAATGCCCACTTAATTTTTATATATAGTCTGCTGTCAAAGAAGTCAATTTATAAGCACTGTGTCCCGCCGAGAGACCCCAGCCCAAGGGGTTTACCCTGTCTTCCTCTGGTTTCTTTTGCTCTCAACAGATAGAAAAGACATTTTTACCCAGAAAAGCCCTTCGTGACAATGTGTCCTTCCTCCATCATTTACCTCAGGCTGGGGACACTCACCCCGGCATCAGTTTTTCGTGAATGTAGAGAGCATGTGCCCCGTACGATCACGGCGAAACTGGTTACAAGAGCCCTTCAGGGGTGCCTTGGCAGATAGCAATGCATTGGTGAATTGAATAAAGAGCAAAATTTGGACAATAAAAAATCATGGCAGACCAACTGAAATTGTGAGAACAAAGAGGCGTTACAAAATAATATGTAATATATTGTGACGTGACAGAGGGCGCTAGTCACTAGGCACGGTGCAAAGTAATAGATGGCGCTCTGCCAAGTAAACAGAGGCAGATGTTAGGCGCACATAGCTGTGTGTTAAGCAAGCGCTGCACATAGGCTCCGCCTTAATAGGGCAGTGGAAGTCACTGCTTGGTCACGTGAGCGCGTGAGCGGGCGTGGTCGCAGCAGCGCGAAAGCTATAAAAAGCGCGCGTCCTCTAGGCTAGCTAGGCTAGGCAAGGCCTAAGATTGTATAGCGCGGCGTTACACAGCCTTTGGGCTAGGCCTAGTCGTCCTGATCAAGGGCTGGTCCTGAGATAAGGATCAAGAATCCCATGCAAGGGTTAAAGTCACCTAGCCTAGTATAGTGTGACTGTGCCTAAGTCCGAGTGGTTTGCGTGTGTTGTTGGGGGGCTATATATTGGTGGTGCAGTATAGTTCCTGATAGGAGCTTGCAGTCGATGCAAGGGCGGATTGCGATCTCGTGACGTGAGTTGCGTGTAGTGCACTAGTGCAGCCCTGACAATAAGCCCCGTAGACTTGCTAAAGTCCCTGATTCGGCACTGGATGCCCACAACTAATTGTGGTGTTCGCTGCTCTTCAGATCTTGGCGAAGTCCGTTCACGTACAATCACAGTCTCTCCGTCAATAGCGCCCTCTACTGGTGTTGAGTGTGTTGATGAATAAACCAGCCGGTTATATTAATTGTTGTATATAAGTCAGGTGTCCAGGCGAAGTTTGTTTCAAGT